CTCCACCGCCTCCTCCTTCCTCCTCCTCCTCCTCCTCCTCCTCCTCCTCCTCCTCATCTCAGCATCATCATCTCATCATCATCATCCATCATCAGCATCATGATCCTCATCCCTCCTCCTCCTTCCTCCTCCTCCTCATCATCATCACAATCATCTCATCAGATCCTCATCCTCCTACTCCTCCTCATCAGCATCATCATCATCATCGTCCATCATCATCCTCCTACCTCCTCATCCTCATCATCATCGGCAGCATCGCAGGCAGTCATCAAGCATAGTCATCGATCATCGCATCGTCCATCAATCAATCATCCATCATCATCATCATCATCTCATCATCATCATCATCAGCATCATGATCAATGATATGATCATGATCATGATTCATCATCATCATCAGCTCATCATCATCATCCATCATCATCCATCATCATCATCATCATCATCATCATCATCACCATCATACACAATTAGTATTATGCTTATGTTTGGTCATCACCATCATCACATTCAGCATCATCATCATCATCATCATAATCATCATCATCAGCATCATCAGCATCATCATCATCGTCATCATCATCCTCATCCTCATCATCAGCATCATCAGCATCCAGCATCAGCATCATCAACATCATCATCAGCATCATTATTCCTCCTCCTCTTCCTCCTCCTCCTCCTCCTCCTCCTCCTCCTCTTCCTCCTCCTCCTCCTCCTCCTCCTCTTCCTCTTCCTCCTCCTCCTCCTCCTCCTCCTCCTCCTCCGGATGCCGTTGATCCTCCTTCGAGCGGCCGTGCCGTGCTTTCGCCTTCGGGTCCGAGCAGGCGCGGGCGCCGGGCAGCAGCTTCCCCGCCAGGGCGGGCTGCAGCAGGGCGGTGGCACACCGCATGGCCTCGCCGGCGATGCCGAGCAGGTGCAGCGCCAATGCCTCGCTTTGTACGGGCGGAAACGCATACCGTCGGGGCCTTGACCTAAGGAACCCTAAATAAGGAACGGGGCCCCTTTTCTCCAGAAGTTAAACTTCGATTTCGTATCGAAAACCTAAGGGAAATCCAAGGCAAGCTGCGAAACAATCAAGGAACACGGAGCCCCTCCCCAACGAAAAGGGTTCCTTCTTCAGGGCCCCGACTGTAAAGTTTTTTTGAAGAGAACCCTGGAGGCCTCGCGCAGCAACTCGAGACCCGACCTACGTCGAACCCACCGTCGGATCTACGTCGGTTCCACGTCGGCTTCACGTCGGAATTGCGTCGGGTTTACGTCGGACTGGCGCCAGAGCATCGCCGCGCGAGCGTCGACCCATAGCTTCCGGAGCTGCCATGTGGACCATAAAAAATACAACTATTACGCGCCGCGCGAGGCCTCCAGGATTTTCCTCCGAAATACAGCGGGCACTTGTTTGTCAGCTGCGAGGCACAAAAGTTGCTGCAGCGGGTGGCGATTCGGGGCAACCGAATGGCGAATTGGCCGGCGTGCAAGAAGGGGGGGGAAAACACAAGGGCGGCCGCGCAAAGGACCCGAGGAGGACGAGAACCACTAAGACGTGGAAGACTTCCGCGTTGAGTGGGCTGGAGCGGCCAGCCAGGGCCATGGCAACACTGACCGTGGCAGCAGCCGCAGCAGCCGGGCCGCGCATACAGCGGACACAAACGATAACAGATCTTGGTACAAGAAATTTGGGGCGCCTTCTTCGTCGACTTTTGAGGACCCTGAGAAGTGCCCGAGGGCGTCGGTGGGTCCGTGGGGCCACTGGGGGCTTCCGACGGGCACCTGCGGGCAGGCCGATTTCTGATGTGAGTGTCTTCTGTAGGTGCATGCATACGTACATCTTTACGTGTAGATGTGTGTCACAGTGTAAACCTGCACATCTAGATGCATGCGTGCAGCACAGCAGCGACAGCGCCTCTGTGAGCTGCAAGGCCTCCCTGACGTGGTCCGAGGTCTCGACCCGCAGGCTCTGCCTGTAGGCCCACATCACGAGCACGATCTGCTCGTCCAGGGACTCGGCAACGCTCATTCGCCTGAAGTGCGTCCAGTGGGCCGGCCAGCTGATGTCCGCCACCGTGGTCTACATCGGCAGCTGCGTGTGAGGGTCCTCAGTGCCATGTTTGGTGACCGCTGCCCCTCGAGATACGATTTGGCCCATTCCGCGAGGGATTTCGCATGCCGCGTGCCACAAGGTCCTCCCCGTAGCGTCCCACCTGCCACGCACCTGAGCGTGCCACCCATAGGGTTCCAACCCACATGGATCCATCTGGATAAGCTGACGCAGCTCTTCGGCGACGTTGTATGTAGCTGGCCACTGAGCCTTACCCAATAGGGTCTCATCCAAGAGGGCGACGTCGAACATATGCCCCACATGAGAGGGTCTGACGCGACAGGGGCACACACGATAGAGTCCCACACGATACGGTCCCACACGAGAAAGCCCCACCCGCTAGCTTTCCCATACATGCACCCGATACCCAGCACTGCACACACACACACACATGTGTATATCGCCAACCACAGAGTCGACACCATGGGCCCAGCCTGGTGTCATTTCTTACAGCGAATGCGATGGGCATCGTTTACATGATGCCGAGGACAATCTTACCATGGAGCGCTTCCATTCGGCACGATCGAAGATGCAGATTGCGCCCTAGACAACGACTGCGCAATCCACACCCAGCAGCCGTGTGTGAACATCCCTATGTATACATGCGTTTATAGCTGAGAAGCTTGACCGTCGCCGTACTTGGCAAAACTTGCACGTGAGTCCCTGTTCGGGGTCTCTCGCAGCCGTTTTGAAGCCGTCTTGTGCGCCTGTTGGGCCGTCCTGGGGCCCCCTTGGGACCATTTGACTTGTTTTGTAGGTCTCTTGGGGCTGCTTAGAGCGGTCTGGAGGCTCTATTGGGCAGTCTCGCAGCCCCCTTGAGCTGCCTGGGGCCGTTGCCGGGGCCCCCTTGGGGCACTCTGGAGCCTTTTTAAGCCGTCTTGGGCGCATCAGGGGTTAATCTTGAGCCCCTCGTGGGGCCCTTCAGAGAAGGCGAAGACGCCAAAATCGTTAACAACATGAGTTTTGCGTATTGGGTTTTGCGCTTGGCGGCCACGGCAAGAAGTTTTACATCCTGGCGGCCGTGGTTGGCCCGTCTTGGCCGATCAGGGGATCGTCAGGACCTCCGAATACCCTCGAGGTTCGGTCCTGATTCTCTCTGGTGCTCGAAATTCTTCCTGGTGATCAAGGCTAAAGTAGGCTGGAATATCATGACCTCACTATCGATCTCACCATCGACCTCGCGATCGGTATCGTTATCGATCTCACGATCGATCGCACTATTGCTCTCAACATCGATCTCACTGTCGATCTCGCTGTCGACCTCACTATCGATCTCACTGTCGATCTCGCGATCGGTCTCATTATCGATCTCGCGATCGATCGCACCATTGATCTCAAGATCGATCTCACTGTCGATCTCGCTGTCGCCCTCACGATCGATCTCGCTGTCGATCTCAGGGGACACCACGGGACACTGTCGGGACACCACGGCGGGACACCCCAGACCACCGCGAGCCATCCGCGCGGACACTCTTCCGGCGTCACGGCGCCCTGGCCGGAGAGGAGGGCTCTTCCCTCTCGCCCGCCCTCGCAGCCTCCCCTCGCCCGCACGCGCGACACGAGCACGAGACCGAGACCGACTCTCCCGAGGGGGGGGGGCTCTCCGTTCCACTGCGAGCTCACCCCCTCGCCTCCGAGCCCCATACCGCATACCCCAAGCGCCCACGGCAATGAATCCCACACGATCAAGAATACCAGCCGGTCGGAAGAAGCGGGTGGAAACATGTAGTGGGAAAGCGATACAAGTAGATTGGGCTTCCGCCGGCCCCTTAGGACGAGGGGAGAGGGAAGAGCACTGAACTCTTGAAGTAAGAAGGTGCCCCGAGAGCGTTCAAGAATGTCTCCTTTGCACGGCCGACGAGCAAGAGAGGAACAGGAAGCAGAAGCGGACAAGGACGAGGCGACAGGAGAAACCCCTGCGAAACCGAGCAGCGCGCAGCACGAGCTGGCCAACCTTGTGCGGCTCAATGCTTGTATGGCTGAACCAGCCTATGCAACCACCCTTCGGCTGACAAGGAGGTTGGGGGTGGGGGGAGGAACGAACCAACTGCTGGTAAGTGCGATGGGTGTGATGATGACGATGCTGGTGACGCGCCATCGAGTTAGCGACGACGCGTGATGGCGAGGTTGCGCTGCGGTGGAATGTCATGATCGTCCCCGCTTTCGATCTGACTCGATCGATCCCACTATCGATCCCACTAGCGATCTCAATATCGACTCCTGTATCGATCTCACGCTCGATCTCGATATCGATCTCACAAGCAATGTCACAATCAACCTCACTACCAATTCTAGCCATCTCATTATCCATCTCACGATCGACTTCCCGCCCACTGCCGACGGAGGACCGACGGGACACCAATGAGACACCAACAGGACACCAGCGGGACACCACGGCGCGACACACAGGGCCACCGCGGGGAACGCTACCGCGCATGAGGCCAGGTGCTCGCAACGCAAGCCGCCGCAGCACCATGCCCGCGTACAAGATCCTTGGTTGTGGGTTAATGCTGTCCAGCCTAACGGGCCGAGGCCCTCAGGGTGATGCCCGTGGAGACAATGCAACGAATACACGGTTTCTCGGCGAATACCCTTACGCACAAGCACATCGCAAACCCACGTGGTATAGCGAGGCACCAGCACTAAGAAGTCCTCCGTGGTGTCTGGGTTCACTGGCGCGTCCGGGCACCGAAATCGCCGACAACTGGGCACCAGGCGTAGTTTTTGATGCTGCCCTTGCACCAGCACCCGAAGATGTACCGATCTTGCTCCTGAAAACGGCGGCGCAGAACCAAACCATCCCACCACGATCGCAGGATCACCGCACCCGCACGCGCAGGAAAGTAAGGATTCGGCGCTGGGCGCGCTCGGCGCGTACCCGCCCGTACAATATCGTGTTGCACCGTGCCAGTCGCCGCCGCAGAACGATTTGGAGAGTGGCCTGGGTTGACGGTTCCACCAGAGCTCCACAGGTCGTCTGCCACCGGCGCCGGAGCTTGACGACCTCCTTGGAGGCACGGTGGGGCGGCATGTCCCAGAATGCGTTCCTGGACCCACGACGCCACGAAGTCGGCCTCTTCGAAGCGGCCGACGGCAGAGTCCAGCTGAAGCAGACAAAAAAGCGGATGCGAACCAGGACGCCACGACGAGCAAGCGCTGCCACTGGGTCGAACGAGCTGCAACCGCGCGGAGTTTCCGCGAGCATCTTCTCCACTGCCCTCGTCGTCGCCCAGCTGGACGCTTCCTCCGCCGCAATGGTCCCGATACAAGCAGGCCGCCGCTTCGAAGCTCTTCCCAAGACCGCGATGATGGACGACCGTGCAGGCCCTGCGAGCTCTACCGAATCTGGGTTTTCAATGCGGTCTGATTGATCTTGACGCCCACTAGCCTGCAGCTGAAGTGCCTGGTCGCCACGTTCGGGATCAGCGCCGACGCATCCTTCAGCAGTGCTATCGCGTGGCAGATCTCATGTCAGGTGGACTGGGTGATCTGCTGAGAGGACACTGTCTGGGAACAAGTTCCGACCGATCGCGGTCAGAGTCTCTTTGCGCACACACGCGGTCAAGCCCCTGGATTTCCTCCCAGAGCGGCGGCGTATTCTCTCCTGCAGAGCAGCGCTACTCACAGGCACAGCGCCTCGTAGATTACCCTCCTCCTCCTCCTCATCATCATCGTCAGGAACATAATCAGTATCACTATCACTATCACTATCACCATCACCACCATCATCATCATCATCATCATCAGCAGCATCATCATCATGATCATGATCATGATCATGATCATGATCATGATCATCATCATCATCATCATCATCATCATCATCATCATCATCATCATCATCATCATCATCATCATCATCATCAGCAGCAGCAGCAGCAGCAGCAGCATCACCATCTCCACCACAAAAAAACTCCTCTACCTTCACCTCCTCCTCCTCCTCGTCATTACCCTCCTCCTCATTATTATCATGCAATCGTCCTCCTCTTCCTCCTTTCCTCCTGATGCTGCGCCTCCTCCCCTCCTCCTCCTCCTCCTCCTCCTCCTCCTCCTCCTCCTCCTCTTTCTCCTAATCCTGTTCCTCCACCTCCTCCCCCTCCTCCTCCTCCTCCTCCTCGTCCTCCTCCTCCTCTCCTCGCCTCCTCCTCCTCCCTCCCTCCCTCCCCGCCTTCTCCCCCCTCCTCCTCCTCCTCACTCCTCCCTCCCTCCCCGCCTCCTCCTGCCTCCTCCGAGCTCCTCGTCCTCCTCCTCCTCCTCCTCCTCCTCCGCCTCCTCCTCCTCCTCCTCCCTCCTCGTCCTCCTCTCTCCTCCTCCTCCTCCTCGTCCTCCTCCTCCTCCTCCTCTCTCCTCCTCCTCCTCCTCCTCCTCCTCTCAGTGCTCCCTTTACTCCTGCTCCCCCTCGCCAGACCAATCAGCGGCCCCCAGAACGCAGCGCAGCAGCCGCGCGACGCCGCGGACCCTTCCGCGCCACGGCTCCGCGGCGCTGCCTGCCCCAAAAAAACAGAGCGCGGGTGGGCGGACGTGCGCGGCAGCGTTCACGTTACCGCTCATGCCCGAGCCCGCCACGGTGAGCTGCACGGGCGCCAGCGCCCACGCCGCCTCGGCCCGGGGGAGCCTCGCCGGAGGCGCAGAACGCGGCGTGGGCACGAGTCCTCGGAGCTCCGCGCGGAGCTCTCGGATCGGCGCCGGGCCCCCCTCTCCCTGGCGCGCGGGGCGCGCCAGGGGCGGCGCCGGATGCGCCGCCAAAGGGGGGGAGAGGGAGCTCCTCGCGGACCTCCGAGGAAGCAGGCTCATGCCGCTTTTTGTTCCTCGACCGCTGGAAGAGGCAGCAGGCCTCGAATCCGCCTGGCGGGCTCCAGAAACCCTGACCGCACAAGATGCTGTCATCTGTCGGGGGTGGCATGAACCCATGTAGCAAAAGCTGCCAAGGGCGCTCCACGTGCGCGCGGCACCGCATTCCGAGTGCACCCATGCCATCGGGGTAGCTAATCGATGTCCGAAAAAGGAACGGAAGTATCCTGAGAAACCCACGTTGATCAGCGAGACCGACTGGGGACTGCACCGGTACACTCGAATGCCAATATCGAATGAACCAGCGCAGATCTCCTCAATCGGCTTGTCTGGGTGGTCGTTCTCCTGATGCCAGACATCTCTTGTGGGCGCATCTTTCACTCCTGCCGGCTTCCGCCGGCCTCCCAACAACTTCCGCCTGCGGAACTGCCCCAGATTTACTTCCGCCAGCCTTCCGCCACCCTCCGCCGAGGAAGGGATGCCGACTCCTTTTTCGATCCCTCGAGGGAGACCCCCGGCGTCAGGACTCTTCCTCGACGTCGACCCCCAGAGGTCTCGAACCCTTCCCCGAGCCCGGTCTTCCACCCTGAGCTATGCTTGTTCCTCCCGGGGCCAGGCGAGGGCCACCGGAGGCCGAACACAGCGAGAGGCCTCCCCCGTCTGGATTCGTCAAGATCCGAAAAGGGGTCCTGGCTTCGACCCCTTGAGGGAGAGGCCCTTTGCTGACTGCCCGCCAGGACCACCCCGAAGCCACTCCGAGGTCCCAAACTTCGGGTCGGGGGGCGCGCGGGCTCCACCTGTGTATTTTTTGGTTCAGCGTTCCGAGATGCCCCCCCGCTGGGAATGGAAGGCAGCTCGGGGCCTTCGGGCTGGGCTGGCGCGGCTTCGTGGGGGCCCATCGGTCAGAAGAGGTGGGCAGAACCGTGAAGTAGGAAGGCGCTGCACGTAGATGGGGTGCCCGCCCGCCCCCTGGCGAGGACGGATAAGGTGAAGCCACTCGACCCTTGAAGTTGGGAGGCGCTGAAAGTAGATTGGAGTCACAGAATGCAGAAATTCCGATTGAGCAGGCACCGACCGTCCCAGCTGTGGCAGCTGTGGCGGCTGTGCGACTATACGCCAGGGGCCTGCCGCCTCCGTGCCGTCCGCTGCTGGGCTCGCTGGACCCGGGACGCCTGTGGCGGGCGACCCGCTGGCAGCCTTGGCACCCTCAGGAGGCCGGCGCCGAGGACCCGCCGGGTGCTCCGTGGGAGTGCGGAGGCGCGGGGGAGTCCCCCTGAAGGCGCTCGGTGGCTCCGGCGAGGCCGAGCGCGAGCTGCACGCTGGCCTCCGGGCTCCGTCGGCCGTCCACGTGCTGCCGCCGGGCGCGCACTGCTTGAACCTACTTTCAACGACCGGTGGGAGGAGGAGGAGGAGGAGGAGGAGGAGGAGGAGGAGGAGGAGGAGGAGGATCAGGAGGAGGAGGAGGAGGAGGAGGAGGAGGAGGAGGAGGAGGATGAGGAGGAGGAGGAGGAGGAGGATTCTGGAGCGCGCCGCCTGGCCAGTGGGCCCAGCAGGCCGCAGACGCGGGGCCCTGCCCGCAGCACGCCTCCGCGGACCAGCCGCCGCCCCAGCAGCTCGCGGGGGGGAAGTGGCCGCCGAGCTGCGCGGGCACGGCGGGCGCGGCCTGCGGGGCCACAGCTGGCGGCCACGGCCACAGAGAAGGCCACGCCCTCGGGAGCATGTCCCAGAGAGGCAATTTTCTCGGGGTGGGCGGGTGGGGCTGGGAGGAAGGATCAGATCCTCCGTATGATCGCGTGTGTTGAACGGGCTTGTGACGCAGTCGTGTCCAAGTTCTTCCCAGACCCTGTCCCCTCAGCACAACATATTGCCCAGTCGTTCTCAGTGTCTTGCGCATGCCAGCAGTCGTCAGAACACCGAAACAAGCTCTGCAGTGCTGGCTGTGGTCGGTGTGGGCGTCCAGGACGACCAGACCGACCACGGCCACAACCAGGATGCTCATGTCGAGGTCGATGGGTTCTCCCCCTACAAGCCCTCCGGGAAACCCCCAATCACTTCTGGCCGTGGCTCTTTGTGGTGCCCGGTCGGCGGCCGCGGTCGTCACGCACGCGGGTGGCAGCACCGCGCACAGCCGCCGCAGCAGACGCGAGCTCATGACGCCGCGGCGCCCCCCCTCAGGCCAGCCTCGCGCCAGCAAGGAAAACGCCGCGACGGGAGGCCTCTGGTAATGCTCGGCATCCCGGGCCCTCGCAGGAGGCCCAGGGCCGTCCAACTAAAGGCCGCGCGGGAAGGTCTTTGCTCCTCCTCCTCCTCCTCCTCCTCCTCCTCCTCCGCCTCCTCCTCCTACCTCCTCCTCCGCCTCCACGCCCCCTCCCTTCCCTCCCTCCCCCCTCCTCCTCTCCTCCTCCTCCTCCTACCTCCTCCTCCTCCTTCTCCTCCGCTCCTCCCCACCTCCACCTACCTCCTCCTCCTCCTCTCCTCACGCCTCCTCCTCCTCCTCCTCCTCTCCTCCTCCTCCTCCTCCTCCCCTCATCCTCCCTCCTCCTCCTCCTCCTCCTCCTCCCCTCCTCCTCATCCTCCTCCTCCTCCTCCTCCTGCCTCCTCCCTCCTCCTCCTCCTCCTACCTCCCTCCGCCTCTCCTCCTCCTCCTCCTCCTCCTCCCTCCTCCTCCTCCTCCTCCTCCTCCTCCTCCTCCTCCTCCGCCTCCGCCTCCTCGCCGCCTCCTCCTCCTCCTCCTCCTCCTCCTCCTCCTCCTCCTCCTCGATATATTTGTTCGGCACCCAGGGGCCCTCGCTGGCGGCCCCGGGGACTGCCCAGTAAGACAGCAGCGGGCGACGGTCCTCGGACAGAGGCCCAGACCTCTGCAGCTGGGCGGCGCGCGCCAGGGGGGGCAGGAGGAGGGGGGGGAAGCCCTCTCAGAAGCAGGCTGCTTCTGAGAAGGCGCCAGCCCCGCATCTATGCAGACGAGGCCCGCGCCTTCCAAGAAACAGGGGTACTTCGAACAATATGACGCTAAGAAGCCCCCCCTGCCCCTGCCCTCTTGAGCAGGGATCGACCGTCCCGGCATTCCTACAGACCAAACACGACATTTTCTTAGAACCCATAGATGGTCGAACACTTAAAACGATGTTCTTAGAACATGAGCCCGACGTACTAAAACAAGCCAGTCCCAGCCAGAAATGTTCTATCGTCGAAACCAGAAAAGGTTCTTATGACACTCCTTGGTGGGCCTATAGGCAAGCCAGGACACCTCGCCACTGCTCGATCCTCGCGTGGCTGACGTGCAGCACATGCGACGTCAGAGGCCTGGGCCCCCCGCCGTGCAGCCACAGACCCCCCCCCATCCTTGGCGCCGAGACCTCTGCCGCGAGGCGTGGGCCCCCACTGCAGGCCTCTCTACCCCGAGGCCCAGCTGTCCATCTTTTGAGCAAGTGGCAGCAATTGGCGGAGGGACTGGCGCGGAGGAGGGGGGGGGAAACATCGACCGCCTCCTCCTCCTCCTCCTCCTCCTCCTCCTCCTCCTCCTCCTCCTTCTCCTCCTCCCTCCTCCCTCCTCCTCCCTCCTCCCTCCTTCCTTCCTCCCTCCTCCCTCCTCCTCCTCCCTCCTCCCTCCTCCCTCCCTCCCGCCTTCCCCCTCCCCTCTCCTCCCCCCTCCTCCCTCCTCCCTCCTCCCCCTCCCTCCTCCCTCCTCCCTCCTCCCTCCTCCCCCTCCCTCCTCACCTCTCCTCCCCATCCTACCCTCCTCCCTCCTCCCATCCTCCTCCTCCTCCTCCTCCTCCACCTCCGCCTCCTCCTCCTCCTCCTCCTCCTCCTTCTCTCCTCCGCCCTCGCCTCCGCCTCCGCCTCCGACCTCCGCCTCCCGCCTCCGCCTCCGCCTCGCCTCCTCCTCCGCATCCTCCGCCTCCATCCTCCTCCTCCTCCTCCTCCTCCTCCTCCCTGCCTCCCTCCTCCCTCCTCCCCCTCCCTCCTCCCTCCGCCCTCCTCCCTCCCCCGCCTACCCTCCACCCTCCCCTCTCACTCCCCTCCTACCCCCTCCTCCTCCCACTCCCATCCTCCCTCCTCCCTCCCCCTCCTCCCTCCTCCCTCCTCCCTCCTCTCCTCCGCCCTCCCTCCCTCCTCCCCTCTCCTCCGTCCCCTCCTCCCCCCTCCCCCCCCTCCCTCCTTCCCTCCTCCATCTCTACCCTCCTCCCGCCTCCCTCACCCCCCCCTCTCCTCCTCCACTCCGCCCCTCCCTCCTCCCTCCTCCCTCCCCTCCTCCTCCTCTCCTCCCTCCCTCCCTCCCTCCCTCCTCCCTCCCTCCCCGCCCTCCCTCCCTCCCTCCCTCCTCCCTCCGCCCGCCCTCCCTCCCTCCTCCCTCCCTCCCTCCCCTCCCTCGCCGACTGATCGGCGACAGGCTCCCGGTAACGAATCCGCACGCTCCTGGGCAGGGTGGAGCTGTCAGACCCCTAGCGGCCATGAACCGATGAGCGATGGGAGGTCGATGCATCCCCGCACCTAATCATCGTTGCCCCTGGGGTGGGGGGCAGGGCCCGGGGCCCGAACACCGCCAGAGGCCTTCTGCCGGCAGCTCTTGTCACGGCTCGAGGGGTGCTGGGTCGCGCGAGGGCACCGGCTGGTTAGCGGGCGGAGGGGAGGGGGGGGGACGCCGGCTCGGGCCACGGCGGAAGGGCAGGGAGGTCGGGCAGTGCCAACAAAGGAGGTCTCCGCCAGTGGGGCCGCAACCTCCCCGGGGACCCCCAGAGACGTCCAAAGGCGCCCCAGAAAAACCCTCTCGATCCTCGATCCCCCCTCCTCCTCGACGCTCGATCTCCACGGCCACTGCCCTGAGGAGGAGGGAGGGGAGGAGGAGGAGGAGGAGGAGGAGGAGGAGGAGGAGGAGGAGGAGGAGGAGGAGGAGAGGAGGAGGAGGCGAGGAGAGGAAGAGAGAGAGGAGGAGAAGGAGGAGGAGGAGGGAAGAGAGGAGAGAGGAGGAAGAGGAGGAGGAGGAGAGAGGAGGAGAGGTGGGAGGAGAGACGAGGGGAACAGAGAGGAGGAGGAGGAGGAAGAGGAGGAGGAGGAGGAGGAGGAGAGGAGGAGGAGAGGAGGATGAGGGGGAGAAAAAAGAGGGAAGGAGGAGGAGGAGGAGGCGAGAGAGGTGGAGGAGGGAGGAGGAGGAGGAGGAGGAGAGGGAGGAGGAGGACGAGGGAGGAGGGAGGAGGGAGAGGGAGAGGAGGAGGGAGGAGGAGGAGGTAGAGGAGGAGGGAGAGGAGGAGAGGAGGAGGAGGAGGAGGAGAGGAAGGAGAGAGAGAGGAGGGAGGAGGAAGGAGGAGGGGGAGGAGGAAGAGGAGGAGAGGGGAAGGAGGAGAGGAGGAGGCGGAGGCGAGGGAGGAGGAGGAGGAGAGGAGGAGGAGGAGGAGGAGGAGGGAGGAGGAGGAGAGAGGAGGAGAGAGGAGGAGGGGAGGATGAGGAGGAGGAGGAGGAAGGGAGGAGGAGGAGGAGGAGGAGGAGAGGAGGAGGAGGAGGAGGAGGAGGAGGAGGAGGAGGGGAGCGGAGGAGGAGAGGAGGAGTAGAGAGGAAGGAGAGGAGGAGGAGGAGAGGAGGAGGAAGAGGAAGAGGAGGCGCAGGAGCAGGAGGCGGAGGCGGAGGAGGAGGAGGCCGAGAGCAGCGAGCACGGATGGGGCGGGAGCCGTAGGGGGCGGCACGGAGCGGTGGCAGTCCAGGGGCAGCCCGTGGGAGGTCTTCCGTGAGCAGGCGGGCGACCGAGCGAGCAGAGACGCGCGCGCGCACGCCCTCCGTGGCCCCGCGCGGGCGGGCTGCCGCACGCAAGTCTCCGGGAGGCCCCTAAGAGGCGTCCCGAGAGACGCGAAGTGCCCCCAAGAGGCCACAGTAGGCCCCCTTGACGCCTGGATGGGGCACCACCAAAGACGCCCCGAGCAGGCCCCAACGAGCTCCCAGGAGCCGCCCTGGAGGCATCCGGCGCCGAGGGCCTCGAGAGGCGCACGGTGAGACCTCGTTCTCCAAGGCCTGCCGGGGCACGTCCCTCGTCGATCTCGGAGGGTCCCGAGGTGCCCTGGCGCCTCTCTGGTCGGGGCGATCGGGGGAACAGAGATTCCCATGAGGCACCGACTTGCAGGCCGATGTCTTGTTTGATTCGCCCACGGTAGTGAGCCAGGTAGATCCGAATTAAGCCAGATGAAGCCCAAAATGAAATGGGATGTAGCGGAAGAGAGGCGGATCGGGACTAGGCTGGAAAACTTTTGGACGCCCGAAATGGGTACGGAAAGAATGGGTACAATGCCCAACAACAAATGTTGTCCCAAACCAACAGCGGCCGCTGTTGGGCAGGCGGCCTCCTGTCTCAAATGGACACAGGCCGCGGCGGCGCGGACAGCAAGCCCTGTCCAAAATGAAGAGAAACTGCTGTTGGGCATCGTACCCATTCTTTCCGTACCCATTTCGGGCGTCCAGAAACTTAGGGTGGTTTGCGGCAGCGGATGTACCGGCGGCGATGCTGCATTTGACCTCGCAGGAGTTGCAACCGAGCGACAGGGAGGAAGGAGAAGGAGGCAGAGAGTGGGAACGGGGGAGGGAACAGAGGGAGGCAGAAAGAATGAGGTCTTTCGACGCATGCAATCAAAAATCTTGCGCATCATGAGGCGCATGCTTGGTCGACTCTGAGCTTCGCAAGTTGGCCCACGGATCGGCAGGCCCATCATGAGATAAGCAATGATAGTGGGGGGCACCCGCTGGCAGGCCGGGTTCTTATTTGGTGCGCCTGCAATGAATATGATTGGGGAGGGCACGAAAGATGGCACAAGGCCCTTCCGAGAGCCACATGGCCCTACGAGTACAAAGTGCATGAGACGCGCTACACCAAGCAGCAGGGCACCTTTGACCTGGAACGGTCGACATACTAAGTGAACTTGAATGTATCCGTTCTGGCCGCGCAGCGAAGGGCGGGCAAGAGCGGGAGCACGGACCCGTAGTCGGAGCCAGAGCCAGAACTGAAGTGCAGGTGGCGGTGGCTGTGGTAATGGGCAGCACTGGGCCCTGACGCTCGATGTTTCAACTTGTTCAACACAATGTCCTCGAAAGTCTCGACCCCTTCCCACGGGCCGGCATTTCATCTGGTCCGGGGCCCCTGGAGGCCGAAAACTGCCAGAGAGCGTGTAATCG